AAGACCACCTCAGAGACTCAAGATAGTGAGGATTTATTTTCTCTGTTTTGATATAAACTTCCTAGAAAAAAAGCAATCTTGTACTTTGGTTTCCCAAGGAAAGAACATGGGGATATTCCACTCTCTGTGAGTACAGAGGAAGGATGTATTGTCTTGGAAGATATTTACTGCCACAGCAGCACCCCATGGGCAAATGTCAGCCATCCCCGCTCAAAGGTGTGCTTTGAGCACCTCCAATTTGATAAAAGCTATTTCCAAATGGCTCCCTTCTACTAAGCATCTGTGCATTCTCAGATAAAGATTTCTGCATCATCATTTGATTTTTTTCCTCTCTTTCCCTAACCTGCAAACCCACAGGCCAAACCCACAAGATTTAGGAGTCTAAAAAGTGCTTTAAAAGTGAATGAATGCTGTCAGACCAGAACTGCCCATTGTCTTTCTTCTTACAGCTGTTGATTGATCTGAGGTAAGAAAAGGGCTTTTTGTACTGTGCCTCTGCAGAAAAAATAAAAAGCAAAAAGAAACCAGTGACATGCAAAGGCAGATTTGACAAGGTTTTACTTCAGATGCTGAAAAATCCTTTTTCATTTTATGCAAACAGAAGGAATGTTTTTACACACCAAGACCTCACAACAAATGTTCTTCTCACTTCCAGAAGACCAGAATAAGCTAAGCACGGATGACTAACCTCATGGGAAAGAGGAAGGGCCAGCAGAATGTTACCTATTTTTTGACTACTTCTGTGCCAGGTGCATGTTTCTTTGCTGGTCTGGAAGCCTGCAGCTCTCTCCTGCTCTCTGCCAGCTGTTTGCCAGCTCACTACAACATCAACCAAAACAAGGGTGAGGAGCCTCTGCAGACCAGGCAGATGCAATGCCCTGCAGTTGCTGTCAATATTTCTTTGCTGAGTTTTCTCCTATGGTTTCTTGCAGGATGAAATTACCTCTAAAGGGCTATCTCAGATCTGTAATCTCTTCAAATATTTAACTCTGGTGGTTTTTATCTTTTCTTCAGCAAAAGACAAGGTCAAGCATTTTATCAAGTCCAAAAAAGACATCAATGCAAAAGGGTGAGAAAAAAAAGCAAACCCTCTGTATAAAGCACTCCAGTGTACTCATGCAGCATATTAGAGAGCAAAAGGAGCTTTCTGGCTCCTATCTGGCTGTTGTTACAATCGTTAATGTGGTTTTGTTCCATTACTAATGGCAGCAGAATGAGAAATCAGGCCCTCCAGACAAACTTGAGAGACTGTTGTTTCCCATCTGGCAATGAGAAGAAAGGAAAAAAACATTTTAAATAATGGTAATAAGCAAAGGGAAGACCTAAAATACTGAGCATGTAGCAGTAAAATCTGCAGATGCCTACAGCAGGGTAGGAGTGGCAAACTAAATATTTTACAGACCTTCTAAGTAATTCCCAGAGCCTGGTAGTTTAAGGCCACTCTGTAATTAAACAAAGACAACCTAATTTTTTACAGTGTGTATTATATTGTTTGATACATTTTTGTTTCCTAGAACTGCTGATTGACAAGCAGAGAAAAATAAAACTAGAAGAGCAGTACTAATGGATGAAAAACCTACAACTTGGAGTGGCATATCATTAGCTTCACCTGAATGTAGTCGGACAGGATTTTAATAAAAAGCTTTGCTAGGAAAATACATCATGAATATGCCAAGGTAAGTAAAATTAAGAATAACACTCCAATCTGGCTTTTCTGTAAAGTTACTCTGACTTAACTACCAAATCCTGCAGCAGAGCCAGGCAGGGTGCATCCCTTCACTCACACCTGGCAGAAACTGTTCCCCTCTGAAGCCTTGCACCAATGCCCAAGCACCAAAGCCCAGGATGTCCACAGCATCCTCTCCAAACTCCATGCAAAGGCAGATTTGACAAGGTTTTACTTCAGATGCTGAAAAATCCTTTTTCATCTTATGCAAACAGAAGGAATGTTTTTGAAACTGTTCCCCTCTGAAGCCTTGCACCAATGCCCAAGCACCAAAGCCCAGGATGTCCACAGCATCCTCTCCAAACTCCAGCCCAACAGCAGGTGATATCTGCTGAAGTTCATCCCCCATTGCCTTTGGGGTGCTGGGAGGTAGATGGGTGCTGGTGGGACTCAGGTGGGTCAAGCATCAAGGTTAAATTCAATTTGATTGGTTGCTAATCAATAATCCAGCCATCATCAGTACAAGAGGAAATGACTTTGGGTTATGCTAGAAGATATTACTAAAAATTGCTTCTCTGGAAGGGTTGTCAACCACTTGAACAGGCTGCCCAGGGAAGTGGTGGAGTCACCACCCTGGAGGTATTTAAAAGACATGTACATATGGTTCTTATGGGCATGGCTTAGTGGTGGACTTGGCAGTGCTGGATTAATGATTGGCTTGGTGATCTCTTCCAGCCAAACTGATTCTATGATTCCTTGAAGCCAAGTGATTCTCTCTATAGTGACTTGTTGATGGACTGTACCCCATGGCCTCCAGCAGCAGCCCCCACAGTGCAGTTCATGTGGCCACACTTCTCCACAGGCTGCAGGCAAGAAGACTGCCCCAAAATTTCCCCTGTCCCTGCTGCTCCCCTGCCTTGCCAGTGGGCCCCCACCCTGCCCAGCTGTCACCCAGCACTGCCACTTCACACTCCAATGCATTTCTGCTTAAGAGAAACCTCCTCCCTTGCAGGGGGGATGTGTGCAGCACAGAGAGAGGAAGCATTGCTTCCAAGGAGCTCTCAGGGAGAGTGAAACCAGCCAGCTTTCAAATAAATATGGTTTATAATGCTTTCTTAATGCTGAGCACTTTGTGATATGTATTTCTTGAGGTGCAGTTTATACTAAAAAAAACCTCTAACCTCTAGATATTTTATAATTTTCCCTTTAAAAAGAAGGAATTTAAAAGTTCTTTGCTGTTAATTATTGATGCTGAACACAAACACGGGACTTCCTTTTATCGCAAGACTGAACATTTGACCTATGGTAGCCAAAACTGTGAAAATTTGAGAGGACCTCCAAGCCTGTATTTCAATTTTGTTACTATCATCTATCTTTCCAATGAAGTGCATTTACTCAATGAAACCAGTTTGATACATTTAAAATATGCAGGGTTCAATTAATTTTGTATAAGTATATAGCTCATAAGTTGTGCTGCCAAAATAGTTCACTGGGCCATAAGTTCAAAAATAATTTAAATAAAGGCTGAAAGAAACAAAAAAGGAAAATTACACAAAGCACATCACCATGAGACTTTCTTTAATGCTCTGAGGAATAAAACTGCCATAAAGTGATGGGATCAGGAAGAAACTTCATCTGACACAATCTCCCCCAGGGAAAGCACTACACACTTTTTCATGCAATTACATTTTCACCAGGGACACCCAGGCACAACATTGGCCTAACACAGCACAGAGGATTTGGCAAAACACAGGAGCAGCTCAGACAGATGAGGTGGAAGGGAAGCATTTCATGGCCAGCCTCTGCAGATCCAGTGCAAACACACTTCCAGGCAACCCCAGCACCATGGCGGGCTGCAAAACCTACATGGGATCTAACACTTGGGCAGTACGTCCTCAGGGACCTCTCCTTCCCTGCCCCTTCATCTGAGTATCATCACTGAAGCTTCAGGAGATGCTTCAGGAGATGGTGAAGCTGGAGATTTTTTCGCACCTGAAAAAAATCTGGGCCCTGGAGTCCATGAAGATTGCACTCTCTCTTGTCAAGGCCTGACTTAATTCCTGGAAGTCCCTCCTGAGATGTGCATGAAAGAAGCTGTAATGCCATATAGAGCATGGCAGCACATGATAGTGTCACACTTGGTTGAAAAGCCCCAGCAGGAGTGAGTCCCCTGCAGCTGAGCCCTGCACAAGCCTCACTCCTGCTCAGCCCTCCATCCAGAGCTGTGCTTCAGCCATCCAGACCCCCGTGGGACTCGCCTGTTCATAAGGAAACCTGCATGTAAAACCTGCATGCAAACCATACAGTGCAGGGAGAAAGTGGTTGCTCAGCGCAGGTGGCTCGGGCAGATTGCAGCTATTCCTCTCTGCCTGGCTGATTGTCCTCTCCTCCACTCACCCTGAGGAGCCTGCGCTGACCAGCACACTGAAACGTCTCTTTATTCCACAACTCTAGTAAAGAAAACTTGAGGAGAGGGAAATGCCAGGAAGAGAATGGAAAATCTGCAAAAAGGCTAATCCAGTGTGTAACTCTTTCCCTGGTCAGAGGGGCAGATCTCCCGGGAGTGTATATATATATACAGGAATGCTTTTGAGAAAAGATGAATTTTCAGGATTGGGATGCTTTAATGTTTTCTAATCATGTTTCCCACTATCTCACACTGTCCGGTGCTTCTGAAAGAAGCACGAGGATTGCTGGGGACCTCCTCTGGACGATAATAGAAGGGAGAGAGGAGCACCTAGTGCATGTGCCGGGTACAGTGGGATGGGAACAGGTTCATTTTCCAGCGTGGTCACCTGAGATGATCTCTGGGGACACAGAGATGCTGCTCTCCAGCCTTCCCCCCATCCCTGTCTCACCTGCATCATCATCAGACTTCTTGGAGGAAAAAAGTCAGTTTTAGCACCCTGAAGTGAAATTTCCCTTGCAGATGCCAAATCACACTTAAAACCAGCCTCCTTGGCCAGATGTCTCGATCCCGGGCTCGGCTCCCAGCTCCAGGCTCCGGCCGGGCACGGCAGGGCCGGGCAGGGTTGCGCCCATCGCGCTCATTTCCCTGCTGGGCGATGGTCGGCGGCCGGGCAGCGCCTTCCCTTCCTCACTCAGCCAATTGCATCTCCAGCCCGGACGGGAGATCGCGGGGTGTGAGCGGGGGAGCGCCCGGGGGCCGCTGCGGGGGGGAGCTGGGAGCAGCCCCGGCGCCGCGGCGGGAGCGGGAGGAAGAGGAGGGAGAGAAGCGAGGGAGAGGCCTCTGGGGCAGGCAGGCCCCGGGGTCGGGCCGCGCCGGCCGGCCCAGCCACTTAAATGCAACCCCTGGGGCATCGGCTTCCCGCTGATGAGACCGCTGCAGGGCCCTCGAGGCCGGAGCGCCGTCGTGGGGACCGTCACCCTCTGCCTGGCCGCCGGGTGGGCTCTGCAGAGTAAGTGTCCGGCTCCGTCCCTGCCTCCCCCGCTCCCTCCCCGGCGCTTCCCTGCTGCTCCTCGCCGCGATGCCCCGGCTCAGCCCCGGCTCAGCCCCGGCTCAGCCCCGGCTCAGCCCCAGCGCCCAGCATCCGCGGGCGGTGCAGAGCGCCCGCCGACCCCCGCCCGCGGCCAGCGCTCTGCCCGGCTCGTCCGCAACCGGGAGCGGCTGGGGAGGGGACAGGGACGGGACGTACCGAGACTGAGGCAGGCATCGCTGCTCTCCCTGACACGGTCAGGGGAGGCTCGTCCCCGCTCCTGCCGCTCGGCGGGAGCGGGGGAGCCGAGCGGGAGCAGCGCAGCCGCGGGGCGAGCGCCCCACGCCCCGGCCTCACGCCCGCTCCGGCAGAGGCGGCCCCAGCAGCCACCGTGCCCCCGCTGCTTTTGCAGCGGCCGAGGGAACAAGGCGAGGAGGGGGAAACAACCCGGTTAGTCAGCCCGAGGGGTGTCTAACTGGGAAACACGGCGGTGAGGAGGGAAGGTGGGTTCTGATCCAGCACCCCACGGGGGTGGGTGAGGATGGGGCAACCTCAGGGAGCCGTCGGGTCCGGTCCCAGAGGGGCCTGAGGGAGGCTGCTGCCAGCCCCACCCTGGCCCGGGGAGCGGGGTGTCAGAGCCGCCAGCGAGTTTGGTTCAGTCACGGCACTCCACGGAGAGAAGTGACGCGCAAGCAGGACACCAAAGGGTGGAGAAGCAGCCCGCAGGGTTTCAGAGGCCCCTGTGAGAACTGTCCCCCAGTTCAGAGCTCCTGCTGGCCCCGCCAGCCTTTTTGATTCTCACTCACTGCCCAACACACCGCAGGCCCAGCTGCGGTGCCGCGGCCAGTTCTGGTAGGCAGAGCCGCACTTCCCACCTTGACTCTTGGCCAGGCAAATACTTTGGAGTAGAGCAGCGTGCCAGGACGGCAAACTCAGTGAGCTCTGAGCAGCCCCTGTACGCGCTTCTCCTGGGTGCGTGTTTTACTGGGTGTGAATGGGCTGGTTTTGGGAGAAGCACAGCCGTCACCTTCCGTAGGGCGCTGCATGTGGGTGTGGTGTTTGCTCTCCAGCCTGGTGGATAGACTGGTTCAGGTGATCTAGGCACACTGCCTATTAAAAATGTTTTTGAATGGTTAGATAGATACTGCACTGCCTTTTTTAGCTTTGCATACCAGATAGGGACAGCACATGTTAGCAAATAATTTAATGGAAATATTTTAATTATCTCTCTTTTTACATTTATTTTGCAATTGCATATTCAAAACAAAGCCTCTATAAAAACATGAAAGGGTCACTGAGGGGAGACACTCAGCTCCTGTCTGGTCAGAAACAGTGGGAAAGGCCTTTAAATAAACACACGGACCAGAAAACAATTGGAACAATTTGCAGCGATTACCAGAGGTTCCCGGCTGTTCTGTTTCTGTAGCTGGCACAAACCTCGTTTTCACAGCTCTGGTTAGTCTCTCCTGCACACAGGCTGAACAGCAGACCACAGCTCAGCTGAGGATGCACTGAGCTGCCCAGAAAGCATGATGTTCCTGCAGGGGGACTGAGCAGCATGAGTATGGACAATGCTCATGAAAGGGGGAGCCCAGGAATGTTATCTTGGAAAAAGCCTAGGTCCTATTTGGTTCCGTAGATGAGAGCCTGGAAACTGAACTGGCTTCTTGAGCTCCCCTACCTTATCCTGACCATCAGAGTTAGTGGATTCTGCTACAGATCCCAAATACGGTGAAGTCAGGTTGTAATTCACCCATCTCTTCCATTTGTGGTGGCTGTGGAGGGCTCTTATTTTAAGATTTTTTACAATTTTTTTTCCCTTGGAGATTTTTTTCTTTGCCTTTCTTAATCATTCTTATCTCTGAAGACTCTGCAGAAACTCCAGGATCATCCCCAGGTGTCCTGCTTTGCACTCATGCAGTGTAGCTGAGGGTCTCATTCTCACTCCCCCACGGGGTTACACACATTTACAGGTCAGCATTTCTTTTTTGTTTTGCTCTTGCAGTCAGGCTGTTCCCACAGTAAGGGAGTAGAGCAGGTGAGCTGCTCCAAGCCAAACCAGGAAAAGGCATTCAGCCTTACTGTGTGCTTTATCTGCCTTTTGTCTGCTTTGATTTTTGTGGGTAGATAACAGGATTTCAGTCTTTAGCCAAGGGTCTCAGACAAGCCATTAATCAAAAGAAAAATGTATGCCAGTTAGAACTCCAGTGTTGGTGTTCATCCAAATCTTCATGCAGAGACACCAAATGCAAGCAGAAATTATTGCAGTTACACATTAAACTAAGCAGTCAGTTCAGTTTTACAGTGTCACAAACAGCTCTGTAATCACATCAGGAGGAAGTAGATGAAAATTAAATATTCTTTTATATGCATTTTTGCCCGGATATCGTCAGGAACATGAAGTCCCTGGCTTCTCAGGGACTGTGTACCTTTGGATACATGTGATTTATCTGCACTGGCTTATTAACTGGTGGCCTTTAAGAAGCTGATATTTCTAATGTTCATTACACATCCTGAAAACATGACAAAGTCCTTGCCAAGACTTCACATACTTATGCCTACTACAGTTCCTGCTTTTGGGGGATGGTAGTTAATGAATATGATAGATTACCTCAGACATGGCAACTAAACTTTCCATGTAAATGCAGGATTTTTAGATGAAGCCAGTTACCAATGAACAAAAGAACATTGCTCAGTTTTCAGAAAATTTTATGCTTATCCAAAGTCCCTTTCTATGTGGATGTTAAAACATTGAAACATATGCAAATACGTGTCCGCTATGGTTGAAGCATTTTTGCTATCACAAATTATAAATGTGTACTTAGTCTTCAAGTATGTATGTTACTTTTATGGAAAGCAAAAGAAGAAGCTATTGAAAAGCATAATCTATCCCCTCTTAAAACAGATCACTGAGATAGGTAGGATGAATCACCACGATCCAGAGGTCACAACCTGCCCTGGACAGTTGGTGCAGCATCACCTCCAGACTCACCACTCTCCTTTGTCTTTCAGCTCCCGGAGGAGTATCCTTAGTTGTCCCACAACCCAACATCAATGCAACAGTGGCACAAAACATTCTCCTCTCAGTTGAATACTCTTGCCGAGGCGTGGCCACCATTGAGTGGAAGCATGTGTCAAGTTGGGGCACCACCAGCATTGTTGAGTGGAGAAGTGGGAATTATGTCAACATATCCACGGTCTACAAGGACAGAGTGACTACTTTTGAAAATGGCTCTATACAGCTTCGGAATGTGGGCATGAGAGATGCCGGCTACTATTTTGTCACTGTAATGGAGGAGCATGGAACCAATGCCTATGGCACCATCATAGTCAATGTTTATGGTACAAACTACTCGGGACTTCTTGGCTTTACCCTGTGTTTAAGCATCAATCTGCTTGTAATCAATTTTATAATATTATTTTTTTTCCATTTTCCCTACAGAGATTATCTATGAAGATTTGCATTTTGTAGCAGTTCTCTTCACATTTCTCGCTGCAGTATCTGCCATTCTAATCTGCTTCATGTGGCTGTGTAATAAATCTCTGCATCTATTTCAGAAGAAGACAACACACAAACTGACAGGTATTTCTCTAAAAATGTAGTCAGGGTATAGGGTCTTCAAGCCTGAAATTTGAACCTAAAATTTGTACCATAAAGGTGCTAAACAGGGCCACTGAGAAACAAGACTGAAAGTCTCAGATCAGTTGTCCTGTTCTAACTCCTTACTAGCTGAGGCAACTGAGTAACAGGTGTTTAGTTGAAGAACAATGCACAGGACATCTACCTTTTTTGTTTCACATTAGAAATAATAAAATACTTCCCAACATTGCTGATTGCAAAACTTGGGGAGAAAAGGCCAGAGCTCAAATAACCCCCCATCAAAGGGCAGGAGACAAAGTCAAGAGCATCAGCAACTCTCTGAGTTCACATCAGCAGGGTGTATCCTAGGGGAAAATAATCAAATGACCCTTGGGAGTGCCCCTACTTCAGTTCAGTCCTCAGCAGAGGACTGCATCTTCTCCTCTAAAACCCCCACTTCATCTGTTCACTTTTGATCCAGTTGCAGACTCCAACGAACACTGAGTAATATCAAAACCTGACACTGAAGACAACAGTCATGAAAAGCAGGTCAAGGGAACACAAGAGCTACACTGAAGGGACATATTAGAGAAGAAATTTCCAAGCTACTGCCAGGGATATTTGGCCTAGGCAGAAAGACAAGGTGCATGTTATGAGCCTGGGATCAAGCTCTTAGGCACATCTTTGAAATGGGAGGTTTCCTTTACCACTTCAAAGTATTTCAGAAGTTTACCTGCCTTCTTTGTAAGTGCAGATCCCCTCGTGGTTTCTTGCCCTCTAGGTAAAAGGTCTGTATTTCTTCTATAAGAAGTGTTACATTACAACAAGCAGCCTAGCTATCAATATTTTACTGGACCAACAGAGACACTCAAGCATCCTAAGATTCGTGGCCCAGACTTTGTGTCAACTCTGCAAAACCTAATAGAAGAAGAAATAAATTTGGTTTGAGCTGCGTCTTCATTTCTGTTGCTCATGTATGGCTCTTAAGTGTTGCTGCTGTTTTCATGGTGCATACATCACTCACGAGGTTCTGTAGCTACTGAAAATTTTCCTATCATGACAGAATATACAGAATTTTGTTTAGATAAAGCCTTTTCCTCCAGCTGAAGCCAGTCTTCCCACAGGGCTGAATTGAATAGACATACTCATGTAACATATGGCAGAGTTCAAGAAAGCACAGTTCTAGAAACTTGTGTGATCTCCCAGGAAATGGTCCAAAGCAGAGACCTAATTTCAGCCCCAATTCTATCTCAGAAGAGCCCTCCTTTCAGAAGTCATGAAGAGAGATATAAGAATGGTCCCTATGGACTTCATTTTCTTAGTATCTTTAGCCTTGTACCGGAAGAAATCATTGTCACTTTAAAGATTGTAAGAACCTCTTTATACAGTTAAATATTTTGAAAATATGTATTTAAAACCTAATTTTAGATGAGAAAGCTTGAGCTAATAATAAAAAGTTAAAAATGTCTTGAGTTAATTTTGGAATGTTGGCCTTCCAATCCATTTGCCAATCAATAATAATATCCTTTCATTTACAGCAAGTACAACAGAAGAGATTGAACTGGAAACCATTGAGTGTTAGCCAAGGACTGTATCATAATAAAAATAACAATTCTACCTCAGGAGAAAGTGTTGGCCAAGAAAGCAAGAACAAACCTAGAAGGTAAAATGTTTGTGACTACTGCAGAAACATCCTGACTTGCAAAGTAATTAAATCAGCAGTGTCTGATGGAGCTGTTTGAACCTGTTAAGTTTTCGGTTCTGCTAGTCAAGGTCAGAGTAAAAAAGAGCAGGCTTTCATGCTGAGCATGAACACATTTTTGTGGCTAGCTAATAAAATCTAGAGCCTCTACCACTCTTAAAAACAACCAACCCTCTAAGATCAACCCATAAAGGAAATTATCACGGTCTTGAAGGACACCTGCATTTTGGATACAGCAAGTCTCCTATTACAGACAGAGTGGTCATTAGTATCCATCAACATAATAAATTAAATATCTAATTACAGTATTACATTAAAAAATTAATTGCAAGCACTGAATCCTGTTTATTGCACCTATGCTGCTGCTTTTGGGTGTAAGGAACTTCCTAAAGCTCTGAAGACAAACTGCAATTTTTCATGAGACAAAACTGACTTTGAAAGAACGCTGAGCTGGTCAAAGTTCTCCCGCTTGTGTTTCCCGCAGTTGTTTACACTGCCCCAGGATGGATCTTAACACACATTTTATGACATTACTAGAGCAGGTGGTTGTACAAGGAACAGTGCAGGCAGGCACTAAAGAGAACACTGTCTATGAAGATTAGAGGGGGTCAGATAAAACAGTGACACACAACACCAGTTGGGGTGGCAAAATACTAAACAGTTTTCTTGTAAAAGATGTCAAGTCCTTTGCAAACAGCCCAGTGCTGAACAATCTATCTGAGAAAAAAAGTTGTAACTGCATGTTTTTGAAATACAGTATTAACAAATACAGTTCTAAAATTGCTCCTGTTGAGAAGCCACCTTTGCTTTCCCTATGTTGTAAGAAAACATGAAGTGACCCAACTAATGTTTTCTTGAATCTGCATATTGCACGTATTGCAATTCTCCACCTGTAGATCTGTGGGGTGAAATAACATTTGTGTTTGTCAGTGAGAAAGCAGTAAACTGACCGAGTTCCAAATTATTCTGTTTTGCTTTTGTAATGAGAATTTTGCAGTGTGAAATAAACTTTGAACTTGGAAGACATCATGGACTAGTCTGCGCCTGTAGATTGCCACGTTGCTGTTTGAGTCAAACTGCTGCTACTGCCTTTCTCACACTTTGTCTCACTTGTTTGCAAAAATCTTTTACAGGACAGGCTGACCGAGCTTTGCCTCTGGTCAGGGACTGGGATGCTCAAATGCAGAGGTACTGCGGGCTCCCTTTGGAAAAACGTTCAGGGAATTTCTCAGCAAGTACATAACGATGCAGGTAGGGGCCAAACAAGCCAAAGCATCCTGTGCACAGTAGCTCTAAACCATCCTATACTGAGCTGGTCCTTTGTAATACAAAGGGCCTCTCTCCGACTCATAAATTGAGGTACCAGATTCAGCTGTTTGCTCCTTCCTACATCAAGAACAGGTCAAAAAAGGTGAGAAATGAGGTATCAGATACAGCAGACAAGTAACAGTTTATTCCAGTTCTCTGTTTTAAACTTGTCCATTTTTGTGTCTTTGAAAGAACAAAGCTTTGACAACAGGGAAACTAAGTGCATCTATTTCAATCACCAAACTTGAATTACTTGGTAAAGTATGCTTATAGAATATGGAAAACATTGTTAGGGGTTCTTTTTGAGCCCTAAATCTTAGACTCTGAACATATCTTAGGCTTTTAAGGCAAAAAGTATTAAAGCACTTTGAATGTGAAGCTAGGTATTAGGCTGAGCTGAATACAGAGCAGGTGCTCTGCCAGACTTAGGAATTACAAAAAGTCCAGCTTACACATAAAACCACTATTACCTGCTAACACTGACCTGAACACTGCAATTGCCAGAGAAGTCAGGAAACATATCCAGACATGAATGACCATTCCAGTGCATTGCTGTGAGTGCAGAGGTCATGCACACATTTAAACCACAATGTTTGAAAGCTGGCAGGAAAGTAGGAAATGAACACTTAAAATTATTCAGTTTAAAATGTACTACAATAAAAGAAGTTTACAACCAGCACAGTTTTTCTACCTCTTTCAGCTTGGCTGAAGTCACTTCAACTTCAGGCACTCAATCCTTGAGTTATTAAACCTGGTGCCAACCTCACTTTTAGGCAGTAACATCCCACATGAATAGTAGGGACTCAAACAGTACTCAGAGAGAACATCCAGTACAGTTAACCTGTACATAGCTTTCTTTATAGACAATTCCTCACCCAAAAATTTTACCCACAATTTAACACACTTACTCTACACAGGTAACGTTACTTAAAAAATACTCAAATTTACCTCAAAATGCTGTTTGTCACTGGGCATTATTAAGGTCAATATTTGAGGTACAGAATGTGAGGCTAAACTGTACCAGTTTCTTGCTACTCTGGAGCATCTATAGTCTCATGGAAGGTTGTTACAGTAGAAATTCAGAAACTAACAGCTGTTCTTACTGTACTTGTAAACTCCCTGCGGAACAGCAGCAAATTTAATATTTAGAGCATTCTAGATCACTGTCCTAGGGTGACGTTATGATGCTTGTATCCCCATTCATGTGTTCTGTTAATATTGGATATTATGTTCTGTACCTTTAAGACCGGCTCTGAAGCGGGAAAGTTTTGTTTTGGTTTTCTTATCAGCCTGGCGGGACACGGAGACTGCGGCTTTTGCTTTTGCTGCTTTTGCTTTTTGCTTTTGCTCTCTCGCTCTTGCTCGCTTTGCTTCTGCTTGCTTTTGCTCTTTAGCTAATTCAGCTAAACTGTCCAATTTCTTCCTGGACGGTTTCTCCTTTCCTTTTTCTGATCACTTCGAACCTGCTCCGGACTGGGACCTGAGAAACACCAAGATCCTGCACCTTCTGGCCTGCAGCAGCAGCCCCAGCGCCGGAGGGACTGAGACCAGAGTGACCACCCCCAGAGAGACTTTCTGAATTTGTCATCTTTTTCAGAGTGGTGTCATCCGGTATTGTTCATTTTGTGTGCTGGGGGGTGCTGTGCTTGTTAAATAAACAGGTTCTTTCCACTCCTCTCCGAGAAATCCTTCCCGAACCGGTTGGGGGGAGGGGCTGTGTGGGTTTGCTAACTGGAGGAGCCCTAATTTGGAGATTCTCCTCCAAATTTGCCCTAAACCTCGACAAAATCTTGGTGCCCAACGCTGGGCTCAAGAGAGTGAGTGGAAAAAGCCTGTTTTGTGGGTATTTTGGTTGCCATTACTCTCTGTTTGAAGCAGCTAATAGCCATGCTTTTTGAATTCATGATGAGTGTTGGGGTGAAGGCTTGCATGTGCTTCTGGTCCCTAGGGTTTTTCGAGATTTTAATACCTCTGTGGTCCCTAGGTTTATTTTCCTATCCTGAAATAGTTCTAGTATTGTCCCTCATACGTAGTTTTTACAGCAGAGGGGCAGTGACCAGAATGGCTATCCTGCTGGGCTTGATGGCAATGATGTGCAAGAAGTTTATAAACATGTTGGGGTCTGCTCCAGGTATGAATGGTTCTTGGCTATGGTTATTCGTCCAGTTTGTTAGAGGAGGAGCAGCAGGGAATGAGGCTTTTCAGCCTTTGGTTTCCTTCCTCTCCTATGAATCGGTTGCGTCAGTAGTAAAGGATGTTCAGTTTCCCCTGAATGTTAGAGAAACCATCTTTCTTGTATTCAATCTGGTAACCTTCCTCTATACAGTCTGCTGTCTCTCCAGAATGAGGGCTGAGATTTCTAGACGGGCTGATGAGACCCCTGACTTAGGAGTAGACCCAGGTGTGAAACATCCTGAGTGGTGTGGGAAATGGGAGGAAATGGGCCACATCCTGAAGGAATTCTCTGACCCTATAGTCTGGGATTTTCCCCATAAACAAATTCAGAACCCAGCTGAGGTGGGGAAATATCTGAAAGAGAAATACCAGGATGAGCCTAAGGAGAGAAAGGTCATTGCAGTGAGCTGGGCCCTGGCATATGCTTATCGCACTCTGTTGGAGACTGTAGGACAGCAGACGGAGGCAGGGGGGCAGGGAGATAAATCAGCTATCCCAGTCACTCAGGCTGCAGCCAACACCACAGGCTCAAAGCCAGCAGCCAAACCAGATAGTGAGCCTAAGCCAGCAGCTAAACCAATGGCTGTTGCTACCAGTACCAGAAGTGGGAAATGCACAGACAAGACCAATCGACCAGTGGATGATGATGATGATGATGATGCAGCAGAAGGAACCTCAATGCCTCCTGACATAAAATCAGGAGTCAAAGCAGCAGGTGCAAGACCAGATGCAAATATTGAGTCCTTTTCCCTGAAGGACCTTCGTGGCTTACGGAAGGATTACACCCGACGACCTGATGAATCCATAATTAGTTGGTTAGTCCGTCTCTGGGATGCTGCAGGCGAGGCTACAATTCTGGATGGCACAGAAGCGAGGCATTTGGGATCCCTGTCACATGATCCTGTCATTGACCAAGGAATGATGAGGGGGGCAAACCCTCAGAGCCTCTGGGCACGGGTCTTGGAAAGTGTTGCACAAAGATACCTGTGTGCAGATGATCTTTATATGCAACAGACACAGTGGAAGACCATAGAGCAAGGGATCCAACGCCTGAGAGAGATGGCAGTGGCAGAGATTATCTTCTCAGATGATGTGACAACTAGGAACCCAGACTTGGTGCCATGCACGTCTGTGATGTGGCGGAAACTTGTGCGACTTGGGCCACACGAATATGCTTCTGCCCTAGCCATAATGAAGCGGGATGAGAGGGACGAGACTGTGCTGGATATGGCAAGGAAGCTCCGAGCATATGCAGATGCTGTGCATGGCCCAACACATGCCAGAATTGCAGCGGTAGAAACACGTCTGCAGAACTTAGAGGATAAGATAGAGGAGAATCATAAGAAGCTCAGAGAGGAGATTAAAGAAGACCTTCTCCAAATCTCGGCAGTACAGATCAGAGGTTCTGGTATCCAAGGCAGACGTTCCCCAGA